AGCTAGAATTACAGGCATGAGCCCCAATGCTTGACTATATGATATCTTTATGTCAGTTACAACACTTTATTGTTTGTTGGTCATGGGGCTTGAATTCAGAGCTTAGGTGCTGTCCCTGAGCTCTTTCTCTTAAGGCTAGTGCTTTACCATTTGGAGCCACCACACTACTTCTGGTTTTCAGGTGGTTAATTTGAGATTAAGAGTCTCATGGCCTTTCCTGCCTGGGCTAGCTTTGAACTATGACCTTGGATCTCAGCCTCCTGGGCTGGGAAGGTGGCTCAGTGGTAGAGCACTTGCCTTGCATTCATGAGGCCCTGGTTCGATTCCTCAGCACCACATAAGCAAAAAGAAAAAAGCCGGAAGTGGCGCTGTAGCTCAAGTGGTAGAGCGTTAGCCTTGAGCTGAAGAGCTGAGGGACAGTGTCCAGGCCCAGAGTTCAGGCCCCACAACCGGACCCAAAAAATTATAATAATAATAATAAAATAAGATCTCACCCTCCTGAGTAGCTAGGGTTATAGGCATTAACTAGCAGCATCCAGCTAAAATACTGTTTTGATTACTATTTGCTATTGAATTTTAATCTACTTACACATCTATGATACCAATTTTTTGAAATTAACTTTATATCTTCCTACATGCTACATGTGGTAAGTTGTTTGTTTGTTTGTTTTTGTCTGTCATGGGGCTTGTGCCTGGCTGCATGCAGTAAGTTTGTTTTTGGTTTTTTGGGGTTTTTTTGCCAGTCATGGGGCCTGACCTCTGGGCCTGGGCACTGTCCCTCAGCTCTTCAGCTCAAGGCTAGCGCTCTACCACTTGAGCCACAGCACCACTTCTGGCTTTTTTTCTGTTTATGTGGTGCTGAGGAATCGAACCCAGGGCCTCATGCATGCAAGGCAAGCACTCTACCACTGAGCCACCTTCCCAGCCCCAAGTTTTTTAAATTTTCGAAGTGTGTTTGAGAATAATATGTTGTTTTGTTTGTCACTGAGTCACAGTTCTCTGTGTATTCTGGATATTACTTTTTAATCAGATATATGATTTACAAACATTTTCTATTTTGTGGGTTGCTGTTTTACTGTTGATCAGATTTTGTTGGGGGCAAGGGCTTGAGGATTTTGTGCTCTAGTTTGGCATTTTTGCTGTTCTTGGGTTGTTTTTATTTTTTTTGTCAGTCATGGGGCTTGAACTCAATGCCTGGGTGCTGTCCCTGAAGTCCTTTTTGCTCAAGGCTAGCACTCAACCATTTTGAGCCACAGTGCCACTTCCGGTTTTCTGGTAGTTAATTGAAGATAAGAGTCTCATGTACTTTCCTGCCTAGGCTGGCTTCGAACTGCCATCCTCAGACCTCAGCCTCCTGAGCTGTATTACAGGTGTAAACCACCTGAACCCGGCTTGGTTTCATCTTTTGGTGGACAAAAATTTTTTTTTTTTTTCGGTCGTGGGGCTTGAACTCTGGGCCTGGGCGCTGTCCCTCAGCTCTTCAGCTCAAGGCGAGCGCTCTACCACTTGAGCTACAGCGCCACTTCCGGTTTTCTGGTGGTTTATTGAAGATAGGAGTCTCACAGTATCTCTTGCCCGGGCTGGCTTTGAACCGCGATCCTCAGATCTCAGCCTCCTGAGTAGCTAGGATTACAGGCGTGAGCCACTAGCGCCCGGCTTGGTGGACAAAATTTTTAATTTTCAGCAGCCCAATTTGTTATTTATTCTTGTTACCTGTGTCTTTGGTGTCATACCCAAGAGTTTATCACCGGATTTACTGTGTGTTTTGTCATTTGAGGCAATGAGCTCATATTTGCAGGGTTTTGTTTTTTTTTTAATCTGTGAGAACACCGTGGGGCTTTGTTGTGGGACTGCCAACTGCCCCCAAGACTTGCATTAGCTCTGTGGTGTTTCCCACCCAGGTTTAGTTTTTATACTAATTTCTTAATGTGAGAGCTCTGGGGCTATGTGAGAAATATATGTATTCACACTCTAAATTTGTGTGAGGAAAGGTCTAGAGTTATAGTTTCTCAGGAGAATTCAATGAAGCAGATAGGAGGCAGATAGCTCCCCTGAGACTCAGCCCCTTAATAGAGGGGAGGGGGTGCCCACATTTCTATCTTCCCCGAGGACAGAGGTCCATTTTTACTCAGGCATTCTGGTTCCAAAGCTCTGTGGGGGCCCAGGCCTAGTGTCCAGGTGTAAAATCCAAGATCTAGATGTCCAACTCGAGTTTGTTAGTTGCCAGGATGGGCTAGAACAAGCCCTTTGCTCCCTTCCATCCCCACTGCCCCTCCCTGAGTCCCCAGAGGACCACATCCGCTTGTCAGTTGATGTCCTGCCCCTCCTTGCTTTTGGTTCCTGGGGTTTTTCCTGCTCTCTTCCTCCCTTGGCTGCTGTAGAGTTTGCTACATGATGTTTCCCACTCGGAGAGTTGGAAACTCGCTGTTCTTCAGTAATGGGGTCCTGAGGCAGAGAGGCAGAATACCTGGCCGCCCCTGGCATTTCCCAGCAGCCTGCGGAACTGCATGCCTGGACCTCTAGTGTTCCTTCCGGAATGGCCAGTGACCTGTACTCCCAAAGCAGAGGTGCCCTGGTCCCAGGGCCTGGAGGGGGAGCGGGGAAGGAAGAGCTTTCTCTGAACCTCAAAACCATTGTTGAAAATCAGTCCTGGACTCTGCCTAATCCATGCTTTCCAGGGGTTTCAATGCTCCCAAACCCACCTCCTGGCCAGGTTCCCAGCCCTTTGCCTGTCCCTAATGGCCAGTGCTATTAGACGTGGCTTCTAGAAACCGCTATAGGCAATCCATTACCAAATCCTAATATTCGCAATACTCTGTGACTCGGGTCACTTCCTGCCGTCGCCGCTGCCTCCGAGGGTGTCCCAGCCTCTTTATTCCTCCCCAGGTTACTTCAGATCCAGCCTTGGAGTCATGTGGGAGCCTTTCCTATGAAGCATGGTTCCTCACAGCACTTAGAGTACTTGGAGCTCTGGAGCCAGGACCTGGCTTCTGCCCTGCCACTTCCTTTGTGACTCACCACGGGGACCAGGTATCCTTGCACAGGACAGGCTACTGGGCTTTTTGAAGTGTCTCCTCTCAGAAGACAAGCAGCTGGAACAAAGAGAGGCAGACCAGCTCACAGGCTTCTCACCTGGCCCAGGAGGTACCTCGACATTTTGATGCAGCCTCTTTGTCTCCTTTACTCCAGGCGCAGCTTGTTAAGGACTAGAAACCCACTAAAGTTTTGTCTTTAAAAAAAAAAAAAGACAAAGATAGGTGTGCATGGTAGTATACACCTGTAATTCCAGCTGCAGAGGAGGCAGAGTTGGGAGGATCACGGTCTGAGGTTGGCCTGGGCAAAAACTTGAGATACTAACTAGTTGAAAAACTAAAGCAAGAGGGCTGGTGCGTAGCTGAAATGGCACTTGCCTGGCAAGCACAAGGACCTGAAACCAAGGCACAGTTTCACAAAAAAAAAAAAAAGAAGAAGGAAAGAAAAGAGAAAGGAAGGGCCTGTAATCCCAGCTGGGGTGGGGGAAGGGAGAAATAAGAGGAGGAATTTGTTCAAGGCCAGTATGGGCACAAAGTTCGTGAGACCCAATCTGAAGAACAAGCAAGCGTGTGGGGCCTGACTACTCAGCTACTCAGCCACAGAGATATAAAGATCACAGTTTGAGGCTGGCGCAGGCTAAGTTAGAGGGAAACTGTGTAGGAGACACTAAATTCCCTGGCTTTCTCTCCATGTGCGTGTGCGTGTGCGCGCACGTGCACACACACACACACACACACACACAATATGAAGTTGTTTTGCAAAAACAGTCATTCTTGCCCATCTCAGCTTCCGTTCCTCATCTCCTCCTCAAGCCTGGATTTCTTTTTTTTTTTTGGGTCCTGGGGCCTGAATTCTGGGCCTGGGCGCTGTCCCTCAGCTCTAGGCTAGCGCCCTACCACTTGAGCCACAGCGCCATTTCAGAGTTTTTCTGCTTATGTGGTGCTGAGGAATTGAACCCAGGGCCCCATGCATGCAGGGCAAGCACTCTACCACTGAGCCACCTTCCCAGCCCCTCAAGCCTGAATTATACAGAATCATTGGCCCATCCCTGGGAGAGGTAGGCCGGTGCCTTGTCTCAGGGGACCAGGCAACTGTCACCATGGTTGGCCATCAGCCTCAGCCATAGCAGCTCAGTGGTGGCAGGATTTGAGACGGGACAATGGCATCTCAGGCTGGGGGACACGTTCCATCGCCACTGTCAGGGCTGCAGCAGCTGGACGCGTCCACCTCGGTCCCCAGTCTGTTGTGCAGGAACCTCACTGTGGTGCTGGATGAGGTGGGAGCTTGGTGATGTTGGTGAGCCAAGGGCCTGCTGTGTGTTGGCTGCAAGTTCTGAACTTGAGGGAAAAGAGGCTCTGCTTGCAAGGAGGGGAAGAACCAGACCCCAGGTCAGTGGCAGGGAGATGTGGGGCCAGGAGGACAGTGGGAGGGGCAGCCCCCCTAGACCCGTGTGGAGAGGGTGGGGCGAGGGGATGAGGACACAGGCAGTCCCGAGGGCAGAGTGCTCTGGTGGCCTGCAGGGGGAGCTCTGCCCCCTGGGGTCCGGTGTGGAAGACCTGGATGAGGTACAGGCAAGATTGCGGATTGCTGGCCAGGGAGGTGTTGCTAAATGAGACAGGCTCCAACTACGGGGTGCAGGGGGGGCATGGAGAGCCAGTCATGGGTGCGGAAGGAGAGAAACACCTATCCAGGCCATGGGGTGCCCCTGGGTGGAGCTCACAGCTGGCGCCCCTTCCTCTCTGCGGGTGCTGGTATGGCGGCGGCCCCCTAGCTGTGTGCCAGCCTGCTCATCACCGTTCAGGCTGCCATCAGTGACAGGCGCTCACGATTCCCACGGGCCTGGCTCTGCATGGACCGGCATGTCCTCTCCCACCAGGCAGATGCTTCCAGAAGACCCCAGTCAGAGCAGGGGGGTGGGGGAAAGAGATGAGGCCGACACACCCAACCCAAGGGGGCTGGGCCTTCGCTTCGGAATGTGACAATTTATTTGGGGGTGAAAGAGGCTTCCACTCCCCTTTCCTGGCATCGATACAATATTGAGCAGCAGAACAAAACGTACAAGACAGAGTCATCAGCACGAACCCGCCCTCCCCTGGCCCAGAGTTCCCCAAACCTGGAACGAAACCAAACCCACACCCCAAATAGGCTGTCTTCCCCAGGGTGGGGCAGGGAGGAGGGGGGGAAGCACCCCCACGGCCTTCTCCTGCCCTACTAAACCCCCATCTTTAACCACGGGAGGCAAAGTTTAGCCAGCTGGGAGCTGGATGGTTGAACCACAGACAAAGGCAACAACGCTTCGTTTTAAAACGCAACGCGAGAGAGAATACAGTGCCCCTCCCCCACATAGAGCTATAGACGTCTATCTTATATATATAGAATTCATTCGTGCACAAGTCATTAGATGAGCTTTGCGAAAAATTAAAAAAAATTATAAGATACATATTTCTTTAGGCCTTTTGTGTTTAAATTAAAACCAACGTAAGTCTGTACCTCCCATCCACCACCGGCGAGGGCGGGCAGGGCACCCCGCTTCTCTGAGTGGCCCCCAGGAAGTGGGCTCCCCTGCAGAACGCCGAGCCCCCGCCCCCCGCGCTGCCTGGCTGATGCTCTGCATACAGCAGGCACTCATTGTGGGAGTCCTGACTCCTTCAAGAAATGAGGGTCCCCCCAGCCCCTGCTGCTGCATGTTGGTGACCTTTGGCAAGGGGGAGGAACGGGGAGCCCCACTCCTGGAGCACTAACCCCTGATTCTGTGCCTTCTGAGTTGAAAGGAGGTGCAGGGGAAAAGCAAACCCTTCAACATCTTCCTTTTTCTTTAAGAAAAAAAAAGTGATTCCTTGAACCATGCAAGTGGGGGGGGGCACGGAGCCCGAGATGGAGGGCAGAAACGGGCCGGCAAGGCCCCTCCATCCAGCATGGGCGAAGTGCAAACCAAAACAAAACCTAGAAAAGTGAGGAAATGGGGTGCCTTCTCTTGGGTCCCAGGGTCAGAAGGGCTGGCGGCAGCCCAGGCCTGTCAGCTGACCCAGCTCTGGGACCCCTCAACTCCCCAAAGGCCAGGGCAGCCTGAGGCCTAGTCTCACGGCCCCGGGAAGCACCTTTGCCCCCTCCTCCTACTGAGTCTAGGGAGCCAGCAATGTGGAGCACCAGAGTGGAGCACCAGAGGGCCTCATGCCAAGGCCTGGCTGCCCAGCATACCCCTTTCACAGAGGGGCACATGGAGGTCAGAAGGGGGCAAGAAGACAAGAACAGGCCCAGCGTCCCATCTCAAGCTGGAGACGCCCGGGTGTGCAGGGCTCCATGGAAACGCGAGCAAAGCCCACCCAGTAGCAGGCCGAGGGTGTTACCTCACATACAAAAATAAAGCAAACCAGATTGCAACTTCTGCTTGGTAATTAAGCAAGTGGAAAAGCAGCAAGGGGCAGGTGATCCCTACAAGTGTGCGGGGAGGTGTGGGGGCGTCAGGGGGCTGAGTCCCCAGGGGAGCTGGGCACACGTGGCTTGGGGTCCAGTGGCCCAGGGCAGCAACCCACCAGGTGAAAGGCTTTCCCTTCTCCCCAGCTAACCCAGTCGGCCACCACCTAAGGAGCCTACCACTTGCCCCTCAAGCCCCAGGCCCTTCCCCAGTCAGGCAAACTCAGGGGTGTCAAGGTCTTTGGGTGGGGCGGGGGGGGGGGGAGAGGGATAGGAAGCTGCCAACTAGGAACCATGGTGGTAGGCCCCACAAGTTGACAAAGGAATGGAGGTGAAAGCAAGCAAGCACTCTCCTCACCCAGCCATCCTGGAGCCAGCCCTCGCGGCCCCCACCCCTCCCAAACCTCAGCTCCATTCGCCCCAGCTTCCCCTTGGTCCTTTGGGCCTGGCTCTCAGCCTTCCCTCTGTACAAGGACTGCAGTGGCAGGCAAGGAAGGCTCAACCCAGCTGGAGCCCCAGAGGGACCGAGGGGCCAGGGGCCCAGTCTCGAGGGAGCCTCCATCCCTGGGCCTCCCCACAGGCCAGGCCCAGACCTCCACCCCAAGGCTGCCAACTCCCTTCCCCCTGCCCCCTGCCCCTACCTGTGCAATCACAGCGTTACTTGGTTCTCTTTAAATAGCTCTCTCCCCTCTCCCTTAGGAATTTTTTTTTCTATTTTTTCCTCTTTTGTTTTTTTTTTTGCTTTTTTTTCTTTTTTGCAAAACTAATTCTTTCACTTTCCTGTCATAAAATCACCTGTGAAAACACAATTTCTTTACAAAAAAAAGTCACGAATGACACAGACTCTCAGGAAAACACATTTCTATGGTCTCTGCAAACACCTGTAACTGGCACCAGGCGGCGTGCGCCTGGGGAGGGGGCGGGGAGAAATCGCCTCTGTGGGCAGAGGAGAAACACCAGCCCTTATTTTGGGGAAAAGCCAATTGGCACTTGGACGGTCTCGGAGCTAACACCAAGGGTAAGATGGGGGGGGAGGGGGTGTCTCAGGAGTGTCACCCTCAAACCCTGTGGGGGTGGGGGGGCCCTGTTTATACCCAGGCTGAGCTCCTGGCAGGGGGCTGAGCAAGGCCCTCCCCTAAGGACCAAGGTGCTGTCAATCATCTGCGCTGTTCCCTTTCTCCTCCCACCTGCCTTTGGGAGCGAGCCACTGGACAGCGTGCCCATGGCCACGCACACCGGAAGCTAGCTCAAGTCACCCGCAGGGATGTGCCATCCATGCTCGAGGGGATCTTGGGCAGCAGCCTCCACCCTGCCTGGGGGGGGAGGCAGCCTCACGCTCCTGGACAGGCTCCTTGGTGCTCTCTGGCCTGCCCGTGCTCCTGTGCCTGGTCTACAGCGGGGCTTTGGTCTTTGCTGTGGACACGAGCATGCCTCTGCTCCCTGGCAGCCAAGGACACAGCTCCTGCCAGGGCGCGGAGGGCCTCGGGCTGGGAGAATGCCCTGGTGGTCAGAAGCAATCGAGAGGGGTGGGAGAAGCTGGAGCCCCCCAGATGTCCAGGCCTCCTCCCTCTCTCCCCAAACTCGAGGAGGAATGGGGGGCTGGAGTACTCCCTACCTACCATCATCCCCCCCACGCCACATGGGCAGTGAAGGCCCAGCTACTGGGCTGACCACCCCCAACCAGAGGGCTCCGGGGGCTCAGAACACCCAGGACACCTGGGCTGGGAGGGTGAGGGAGGCCCAGGCCACCCCTTGATGAGCCTCTAGCCACCCTGAGCTGAGCAATGGAAAAGCGGGCACCCAGCATCCAATGCACATGCGAAGCCACATAAAAGCAGGCCAAGGAGCAGGTACGCACACAGCTCTGCGCTTCCACAACAGGCTCCGGTAGCACCTCTGGTGGATCTCAGCCAGCCCCTCAGACCTTCAAGAGGGCCTTCCCAAAGACATGGAGGGCGGGGGGCACAAAGGGGTCTGCTTGGGCATGGTCCAGAAGCGGGCAGCCCGGAGAAGTGGACCTGGGGCCACGCTGGTGTGGAGGGCGGGGCTGTGTGCGGCAGGAGCCCTCGCTCTCGGGGGTCGCTGCCATGCACAGGAAGCCGTGCATGGGACTGCGCCCGCAGTGCCGGCAGGGTCCCCAACGAGCCCCGACGCTGCTGGGTTAGCACCGAGATCAGATGCTGTACACGAGAGCAAGAAGCAAGCTAGGGAGAGATGGGGTGGGAGGTGAGCAGGTGAACCCTGGCTTCGGGGGCGTCACTGCGCACAGGCAGGGACGCTGCCTGAGAGACAGGAGGGAGCACTTTTGGGGGTGTGCCCCACCCCTGCCCTCACCCAGCCTAGGGCTGCCCGGCCCCCCCGGGGCGCTCTGGGGGCCACCTGCCCATCCCATCCCATCCCAGGGCCAGCCCCAAGCCGTCTGAGACAAGCAAAGCACAGGCAGACGGGTGGGCGCGCGGGCGGGCGCCCCTGGGGAGGGGGGCGTCCTCACTTGCTCACCCCGCCGCCCGCGCCCCCGGCAGCACCCGTCACCCCAGCCGCCACCTTCTCAAAATCCTCGGGGTTGCAGAACTCCTTGATGGTGACCGTCAGGAGGTTGCTGGTGACGTCGGTGACAACCACGTTGGAGCAGGGGGACATCTCGGGGCGCCAGTCCCCAGCCTCGGGCTCGGAGGCGGCTCCCGCGGCGGCGGCGGGGGGCGGAGCCTGGCCCTGGCCCGCGTCCGCAGGCGCCCGCCGGCCCGGGGCCTCGGGCGGGACGGACAGGTCCAGCACCTCGGGCTCCCGCCAGCCGGGGCCGGCGGGGCTCAGGGTCTCGGGGAGCAGCTTGGGGGGCGCGTCGTCGGGGTCGGGGGGCAGCGGCGCGGGGGAGGGGCAGCCGGAGGAGCCGGAGCTGCGGGCGTCGTAGGGCGCGGGCAGGGCGGGCGCGGGCAGGCGCAGCCCGGGGCCCTCGGCCTTGCCCGCGGGCGCGGACGCCGGGGAGGACAGGGGCGCGGGCGGGGGCTTGTAGAGGGCGAAGGCGCCGAACTTCATGTGGCGGATCTGGGTGCGGAGGATGCTGTCGCTGAACTTCTTGCTCTTGCCGATGACGCGGTTGCGGGAGGGCACGCTGGGGCGGGCCAGCGCGCCCGCGCCGCCCGCGCCGCCCGCCGGGCCCTTGTCGATCACCTTCAGGTTGAGGATGACGCGGCTGCGCTTGGGCTCGCGGGGCTTCACCTTGCGGTTGATGATGCGCACGGTCTCGGAGAAGGGCGAGATGGGCGGGCGCAGGCCCGGGCTGCCCCCCTGCGGGTCCGGGCGCGGCAGGGGCCGGCGGGACATGCGGTGGCAGCGGCGGATGTCCTTCTTGAGCCGGTGCACGGCGGCGCTGGAGTGCAGCTTGGGCGAGGAGGCGCTGGCGCTCGGCTTGACAGAGAAATGCACATCACTGATGCGGAGGGCCTCGGCCTGGGCCCGGGCCTGCGGGCAGAGGGGCGTGGTGGGACCTCCGGGCGCCCCTGCGCCAGCCGGGCCTCGGCTTGGAGACTGTCCTGGGCGGGACCAGTGAAACGCAGGCCGCAGGCCGCCACTCACTGAAGGAACAGGGCTGGGGGGGGGGGGGGGGTGCGACCCTCGCTGGCACAGTAGGGGTTCCCTGGGGACCGGGCCAGCTACAGGGCTGTCAGGAGCCTGCACCCCGAGGGCAGCCCCTGCCCAGCCTCTTCTCTGCCCAGCCTGGGACTCCTCCAGGGACTGATCCTCTGGGATGGGGTGGGGTGGACTCCTCAGCTCTAGCCACCTACTTGCAGAGTCCTGGGTACCCCCATGCCATCTTGCCCTGGCTTGACTAAACTCCAGCTCCAACCTGCCTCCCCAGAGGACCTCCATCTCCCTGCAGGGGCTCCACCCCTGGGGCCCCTCCTCTATCTCCAGCCTCTGACCTTGTCCTCCTGGGTCTGCTTCACCTGTCTGCCCAAGTTGTTTGCCTAACAGATTCTAAAACCTGCCCCTCGAAGCTTGGGCTAGAATTGAACCTGGTTAGACAGGACTGGCAGGAACAAGCCTACATGTGGCATTTGCCATGCTCCACCTCTGCCAGGATGGCCTGAGGACAGGATGACAGAGCAGAGGCCTGTGACAGCCACAGCCCAGCTGTCCTTCCAGCCCCAGGTCAGCCGCTACCTCCTGACACCTGGGGCGTGACAGGGCACTGAGGAGACCCCAGGTTCCAGCCAACCCACCCCTTCTAGACGGGGCACGGAAAGAGGGCTTGGGGTTCTGAAGGGCTCACAAGCTGTCCCCTCCATGGTGTGCAGCTGCGGCCGGCACACACGCGGCCCTCCACGAGCGGCCTGTGTTCTCATGGAGGGACAACAGGCGGGAGAAGAGTGATAGGGTAACGCAGTGCCCAGGCCAGCGCTGATAGGGAACTGGACTTGGGTCCTCACTCGGTGCCCAGTGTGCAGGCAAGCCCAGAGGCCAGGTCCGCAAAGGCAGGGTCTGAGGGTGGAGGCAGTGGTGGAGGACTGACCGCACGCTAGGGGGCCGAGCCTGAGGGCTAGGTGGTGACTGCCTCCACCCAGGTGGCACAGTGAGGGCAGGGAGGAAGGACACATTCCTACAGTCAGCTAGCATCCAGAAGTAGAAACTGTGTTTGGGGGCCTATCCATCTTCCATCTGCCAGCATCCAGGAGGCAGCCCCTACACCACTTCAGACAAGATGAGAATGTTTGGCCACAGCCCCCAGGTGGCTGTACCTGCTGACTGAGGATGTCTTTGGCATATGGCCCTCACAAGCCCCTGGGAGAAAAACACCTGAATGCCACCTGGTCTTTCCCACCCAGACTGGGGTGTCCTGAGGCTGCTTGTCAACAATCCCATTGGCCACTAGGTGGCAGCACACAAACCAGTGTTGCCAGCTACCATGGCAACCCAGGGACTGGGCTCCTTCCTTCCCAGACTAAGGCAGGGAAAAGCTCAGGTTTTCTTTAGCCTGGCAAGCTGGGTCCTATTGCAGGTACCCGCCACGAGCGCAGGGCACGTGCTAAGCGCATGCGTGGATGCCCGTTCATGCTGCACTTATCCATGAGTGTTGGGCTCCTGAGCAATCTGCTAGCATGTACTTCACGAACTTCCTATGAGAAACATAGTAATTCCTATTACTTCTATGATCATTAATACTTATTTCTGGGCTGGGAAGGTGGCTCAGTGGTAGAGCACTTGCCTTGCATGCATGAGGCCCTGGGTTCAATTCCTCAGCACCAAATAAGCAGAAAAAGCCAGAAGTGGCGCTGTGGCTCAAGTGGTAGAGTGCTAGCCTTGAGCTGAAGAGCTGAGGGACAGCAGAGCTCAGGCCCCATGACTGGCAAAAAAAAAAAAAAAAAAAAAACTATTTCTCCCCAGGTTGAGAATTCCTTGAAGGTAGGACCTGGGCCTGGTGAGTTAAAAAGTAATTGTAAGCCAAAATGTTTACTGTGCTCTCGTGGGGCGACAGGTAGGTAGTATCTAGACTGATGGGGAGTCTGTGACTGTGGAAAAGTTACTTGACCTCTCTGGTCTCTTTTTTTCAGGTTTAAGAGGGGGCTAACAGGTTCTCCCTCTCAGGCTTCCATTCCCTTCAGGCTAGTTCCTGCCAGAAAACACCAAGTGCAATTTGCTGGCCTGCCATGGGTTCTCTGAATCACAGAGCAACAGATTTGGGCCAGGCTGTCCTTACAGCTCCTTACAAACAGCCCTGTTGCTGAGTGGCAGTGACTCACGCCTGGTTCGAAGCAAGCCCAGGCAGGAAAGTCCATGAGACTCTTATTTCCAGTTAGCCACCAGAATACCAGAAGTGGCACTATAGGTCAATGTGATAGAGCACTAACCTTGAACACAAAAGCTCAGGGACAATGCCCAGGCCCTGAGTTCAAGCCCCATGACGAACAAAAAATAAACAGCTGTCACTCCTGTGCTACCTGTCCTGTGAGGTCTATATCGAGGTGCTGCCATCCAGCCCCACCTACCAACTCTGTAGCCTTCTTATTCCTTGTGTATCCATCTTCTCTCCTGATCCTGACAAATATTCCCCAGCCAGGAAGCTGGGTGGCAAGATCTCAGGCAAGTCACTTCCCCTCTCTGGATCCCTGACTGCTCCCATTTGTGCAATGGGACTAATGAGCCTCACTTCACGGGACTGTTGAGAGGCTCAAAGGAGGTTGTAACCCATGCTCTCTGCACTGTTGGCTCCTAGGCAGCTCAGGAACTGTAAACTGAACCCAGCCATCACCCGCGTGGCCGCTAGGGGGCGCCCCAGCTGTGCCGAGAGCTGTCACACCGCCCCCCGGCCGTCCAGCTGCTCCGCCCACCCCCCCTCCGGGCAGGCGCCAGGGTTAAGGCGGCTCCGCGACCCGTTAGAAGCAGCACGGTGGGTCCAGGGGGTGGGGTGGGGCGGGGCGGGATGGGGTTGGGGCGGGGGAGCGTTATAGGAATGCGGATTTCTGGAAAACACCCCCCCCCCCCGTTTCTGCTTCAAGACCCAAAGCAAACCCTGACACATGCACTGTCCTTCCTCGGGGGCGGGAGGCCGACGGGACCGGGGCCACCCCACCCCGCACTGGGCTGGGAGCCTTGGGGAGGAACGGACGCTTGGAGGTTCTGCATTCTGCAGCCTTTCCTCCCTCAGAGTCCTCCCTATTCTGCTGGTTGCCAAATGCCACAGAATCACCAGCTGTCCAGTGGGGAGGGGCTCTGGGGCCTCTGGCCTTGGGGGAGACTTGAGGTGACTCGGGGCGTCACACCTGCAGCTTCGCACGGGACGGACCCCTGGGGCTGTCTCCCCAGACGCTGTTCTTTTTCTCATCAAATTAAATAAATACCCCAACCCCCAAGATGGCTTCCTCTGGAAATTCTTCCCTCCCTCTGCCAAGAAAAACAGGCTATGCTTCACCACGTCTTGCAATCCTTATTAGAATCCGCAGAAATAGAGGCCGGGGGGGAGGGAGGGGAGGGATAAACTGAGGCTCAGGACCCTGAAGTCGGAGGAGGCCCGGGCCTAGGTGTGTGAACACACTCAGGTTGACACGGTTTTAAGATGAAATTCAGATTAGGCCTCGGAGCGAGGTGTGGTGCGCAGAATTCCTCCTGAGAGGAGTTGGGCAGCAGGGGCGCAGGTGGCCCTCGTGTCTCCCCGGGCGCCCTGCCAGGAGGTGCGCCCACTCTGCCCCTGGCTCCGGGGCACACACCCTGAGTGCCTACGGCTGGGGGGGGGGGGGCTGAGCGGTCTCACGGGCTGGGACAGCCTCCCTGCGACCTCCTCGCGTGGCACCCCCACCTGCTTCACGGCCCCCCTCGCCTGCCCCCCACCCCCTGCCTCCAGAGCCGGGCCTCGTCATCAGGATGAGCGATCCCCTCTCCCAGGCCCCTCGCTGGAGCTGGCGGGGGGGCTCACAACCCCACCCCTCTTGCCCGGCTGGGGCTCCCTCTGTAAGGCAGAGGCAGCCGGGTTGTCCCTCCCTTCCAGGCCCCGTGCGGCGCCGGGGCCGGGGGCCCGCGATGGGGCTTGCTGGGGCTGGGCCAGGTTACCTTCAGGAGGAAAGTTTTGGGCTTGGGTCCCCTCTTCTTGGGCCCATACAGCTCACGTTCCCGCTCCCTGCAGCGGAGAGACCCAGAGATTAGGAAGAGCGGGTCGGGGGGTCGGGGAGGGTCGGGGACCCCCGTCCCGGGCCCGCTCGCGGCCCCGCGCGGGGAAGGGGGGGGAAGGAAGGGGGGGACACTCACTTCTGCTCGAAGGCCGCGATGAGCCGCGCGTCCAGAATGTTCTCCTCGGGCTCCCAGGTGCTGTACCTGCCGGGTCCCGTGCAGAGCCCAGCGTGAGACCCGGCGGCAGCGCCCCGCGCCCCCCGCCCGGGCGCCCCCCCGGGCCCCACACTCACTTGATCGCCCACCCCTTCCATTTCACCAGGTACTCGATGCGTCCCTGCGAGACAGAAAGGGAGGAGAAGAGGGGGCAAAAAGAGGGGGTTGGGAAGGATGCGGGGACCCGGGCGGCGGCGGCGCGGGGGGTGGCCGCGGAGCCGGGCTAGCGGGACCGCTGCGATCCGAGGGCCCCCGGGGACCTGCGCCCGGCCTCGGGGAAGCCGAGGCCCGCCCGGGGCGGAGGCTCACCTTGCGGACCCGCCGCTTGATGATGGACTCGGCCGCGAAGACCCGCTCGCCCACGGCAGACAGCTCCATCTTGTTCGGCGGCACCCACAGCCCATAATACTCCCGGCTCCCGCGGCCGGTGCTGCACCGCTCGCGCACGCGCCGCAGCGCTCAGGCCCCGGCGGGCGGGCGCGGTAGGATGTGCGCGCGCGCGCGCGCTCCAGCTGTGGGCCGTCACGTGACCCGGCCGGCCAGCGCACCGTTGCCACGGACCTCCCCCTCCCTCGGGGCGGTTGCTAGGGAAAGAGAGCGCTGGCGGGGCGGGGGCGCGCGCTGGCTCTTAAAGGGGCCTTGCGGGGCGGCGGGAAAGCAGGGCGAGGGCCTGGCTTGCTGGATGCCTGGCTGGTGCCCAGCTGGGAGAGACGCACTGCAGCCGTACATTGCCTTCATCTTCTTGCTCCGCTCCCCGAGCGCTGCCACCCTGTCCCCTCCTTCGGATCCCCCCCCACGCAAGGTCGTGTCAGGTCCCGGATGGAGAAGCGCCTGGAGCCCGCGGGTCTCCGCAGTGGCTGCGCATCCTCCCCGGGAAGTTTGCAAATAGTTAAATATGATACAGCAGAAATACATTCGCGTGGCCGTGCCAAGCCTTGCGGGACTTTCCTTCAGACCCCGCCGCCCCCTTCCCCGATCCATTATTTATGTGCCCGTGGGAGTACGGTTTTGTAACCAGTTCACATGAGTTAAAACAAAAACGCCACCGCAGGCCAGGGGGTGCAGCCGGCCCGGGGCGCCGGCGGGGAGCCGGGCGCCGCGTCTCCGGCGGGGCTGCGGGCCGGGCCGGCACCTGCCCTCGCCCGGAGGCGGCGGAGGCGCGCGGGGGGGGGGGCCCGCACCCCGGGGTGCGTCCCAGCGGTCACCCGGGGGTCCCTCGGCGGAGCCACCCTCGGGTCACAGCGGCGTCTTCTCCGCTTTCCCCGGCCCGCCCTCCCCCGAGGGCTCCGCCATTGCTCCCGGGGAGGCCGGACCCCGCTTTCCGTCTGGGGAGGGGCTGGGCCGGGGTGGGGACGCGAAACCTGCCATTGCTTTTGTTTTTGAACTACGACAATAGTCTTGTTCTAAACATTAAGAACGCATGCAGATCTTAGGAAGCCACGCTCGTCATCTGAATAAAACGCTTGCTCGTGCGACCGTACAGTCTTCTCGCCCCTCCGTTATTCAGTGCCGGACACACGCCTGTGTCACGTTACATACGTGACACATTACATAGTTAATTTTTTATTTACACTGTTATTCAGTTGCTGTCTTGGACATCAGTGTCATGCGACTGCGACCTGGGGAGGGAGGTTCCTCTCTCCCTGCCATTGTCTATTGAGCAAGATTTGTACGTTTCTCTGCTGCAGCCCTGAGTTCTTGCAAGTTTCACAGCGACCACATCAAATGTATTACCTTAAGAGAGATCCCTGGCCTTGCCTGAAGATCTTTATGGTCCTGAGGAAAAATAGCTAGTCAGTGGCTAGCTGGAGCTGAATCCTTGTATACAGATGGAGCTGCCCACCTGGAGGAGAGCATAGGGTTGGGTGGGCAGGTGATGTATGCCGATGTATAAGCCTGCAGGTGTATGCAGCCTGGGAGGGCAGAGGGAAGGGTCCAGCTTGCATAGCCACTCATTGTGCAGCATGTTTATAAATCCTAGGCACTCAGGAAGCTGAGATCTGGAGGATGTCAGTTCAAAGGCAACCCAGGCAGAAACATCCTTGAGATTCCATCTCCAATTAACTAGCAAAAAGCCATACTGGTCAAGCACCAACTGAACAAGAGCAAGGGCTGTGAGTGGTTCAAATCCCCAAAGAAAAAACAACAGCAACAAAAACAAACAACAAAAATGACCCATCCTGTGTTAAACCTTCCAGAAACAAAGATGGCATTTAATGAGAAAGTTATCTACCACATCGTGTGTCTCAAGTGTTAAATAAACATGAATTAGTTTCATGTTGCTGCTATAACCAATTGCCACGAGGCCTAGTGGTTTAAGATGACACAGATTTATATGAGTTGAAGGTCAGGAGTCCCAAATCAGTGTCATGGAACTGAAGTGTTGTTCCAGGGAGCCCTGGTTCCTTCTGGGGGCTCTCCAAGAGAACCTGCCTCCTGTGTCATCCAGCTTCTAGAAGCTGCTATTATTCATTGGCTGGTGACTTTGTCACTCAGCTGTGGCTGCCATCACTTTGTTTTTCCACTGGCTGGTTGACCTTCCTCCAGGGGACCCTTGTGGTTGTGTTGAGTCTAGTGAATACTGGGGGACAGTCTGCACATGGCAACAGCCTTAACTGAACCTGGAATTGGCCTCCTAGTGCTGAAAGGGTCCTCCAGGCGGGAGGGTCATCTCTGGCTTTTGTATGGCTGTGTTCGGGGGACTGAGGAGCCTTCACATTGGCTGGGGCTTGGGCTAGGCTTTCCTAGGGGAGGACCTTGAGTACTGCAGGAAGTTGAACTTTGTCCCACACTGTGGCAGCAATGGGGGTCTCCTTGGGACCGCTGTGATGTCAAGGAGACTTTCCCCTCCCATGCTCTCTGCCTCTTAGTTGTTGTTGTTAAACTTCAACATGGTGGCCATTTTTAGTGGCTCGTAGTATTTTTGAAAATGGCTAGGTCTGGGTTCACTCAAAAAAATTTGTCTTGTGTGCTGGTCCTGAGGCTTGAACTCAGGGTCTGCTCAGCCTGGGTATGCTGTCCCTGAACGATTTCACTCCAGGCTGACACTCTACCCCTGGAGCCACACCTCCACTTCCTTCCAGCTTTCTGCTGGTTCACTGGAGAGAAGAGTCTCAAGGACTTTTCTGCTGGGGCTGGCTTCGAACTGCATTCCTCTTGCAGGCATAAGCCACTGGTGCTCAGCCACTCAAAGTATCTGAGTTATTTGTAGACCTCTAGAAGCCAATCCTGAGGTAATGAACCCTTGGAGAAGATCACTTCCATTTCATGAGGGGAAAAAAGAGTTCTCTCTTTCTCCCTCCCTCCCTCCCTCCCTTTCCCTCTCCCTGCCTCCCCCCTCTCTCACAGGCCATAGCTCCAATGATGGTTATTGCCACAAGGGAAGGGGGGGGGGATCTCCTTCCCTGAATGAGTGGACTCTCAGAGAGAGCACACTGCATGTAAGCCTGTGCTGCGGAACAGAGTCTTAGTGTGAGACACCTACATGGTCACTGAAAACACCAGAAGAGTGTTTGACTTCTGTAATCCCAGCTATGGAAGGGGCTGTGATTGGGAGGATTGCTTTTGGAGGCCAGCCTCAACTTCAACAAGCGGATGTGGTGCACACATCTGATACTAACTATACATGTGGGGGTTAAAGGAAAGAAAGAGGCCAGGCAGATTTGAGGAGGGGGATTTTGACTCCCCACCCTGGGTGGAGGAGTGACGGAGTGACAAGCGACCTGCAGGGGGGACTCACAGCTATTGTTACAACTCATCAGGAGTGGTCCCCACGGGACAGGGCTCCTCTGTAAAGCTTCAGGTTTCAGGAACCAGGTCTTCTACAAGGGCACCTGTGGGATTTAGGGGGTCAAACCTTTATGAGCTAACCAGTGAGTGATTTGTGGGATACATGAATGGGGACTGTTGTTGAAGGGATGGGGGGTGTTCAGAGCAAGCAAACACACAGTGGTGTCTCCCTCCCTCCCTCACTGCCCACTGGGCTCTGGGAATGGCAAGGGGAGGAGACTCAAGGATGCTCAGTAAAGAGAGAGACAGAGAGAGGCAGAGAGAGACAGAGGCAGAGGGAGACAGAGAGAGGTAGAGAGAGAGATAGAGGCGGAGAGAGAGAGAGAGAGATAAAAGTCAGAGAGAGACAGAGAGGGACAGGAGAGGCAGAGCGAGGCAGCCTGGCACGTAGGTGCCATCTGAGCTTAGAGTTCTCTGAGCTAATCTGTGCCTCAGTTTTCCTCATTTGTAAAATGGAGAAGATCGCTTCTACCTTGTAGAACTGTCTGAGGACCACACTTCATATGACAACATCAAAAGCATCGGACAGGGCTGGGAAGGTGGCTCAGTGGTAGAGTGCTTGCCTTGCATGCATGAGGCCTTGGGTTCGATTCCTCAGCACCACATAAGCAGAAAAAAGCGGAAGTGGCGCTGTGGCTCAAGTGGTAGAGTGCTAGCCTTGAGCTGAAGAGCTGAGGGACAGTGTGCAGGCCCAGGAAAAAAATAAATAACATCAGACACATACACATAGTAGGTCTGTTACTGGTATCGTGTGTGTGTGTGTGTGTGTGTGTGTGTGTGTGTGTAAGCCAGCTTATATCTCAGGAGAGAGTGATGCATACTCACACACACACACACACACACACGCATGTTGTTTAAGTTTAGCAGTACGGGGGATTTGAACTGAAGGATAGGCTCTCTACAGATCGAGTCACGCCCCCACCCGCCCTCCACCTTTTTTTCTTTTCTGCTCTTTTTCAGCTAGGTCTTGCTTTTTCTACCCAGGGTGAGGCCCAGATTGAATCCTCCTACCGATGCCTCTCTCATAGCTGGGGTTTTGCAGGCGGGAACCATCACACCTGGTTTGGTTCTTGAGATGGGGGTCTTGCTTCCTTTCTGCCCAACCTAGTCTTGAACTTTGATCCTCCCAACCTCTGCCTCCCAAGTAGATGAGAATACAGGCATGAACTACTATCCCTGGCTACACACACACGCTTTTCTTTCACTGCAAGTCAGTTTATTAAATCCATTCTAGAAACCAAAACTGTACTTGGGAAAAATGTCAAGCGCTAACCCTTTGCATATCAATCATCATGCTTCAAAGATTTCCTCCAAGTGCCTCTCATTTGTATCCCACATGAACTAATTTAATCCTACTAGAATGCCACTGTTACCCCGTCTCACTGTGGAGAGTATTAGATTTCTCTTACGCCCAACACTGAGTCCTGTTGGGACTGCCCACGTGAGGGGAGAGCAAGACGTGGCCGTGGGGAACTGTGGAGAACTCCTGTCCCTGGGAGGCTGGGGGTGGATGGGTCCCAAAGACCATCCAGAACATGGAGCAGGGAGCTGCGAGCTGCTAAAGAAAGGCAGCTATTTATAGACAGAGGGCAGTGGAACTGTTTGGAAGTATGCCTGACTATGGTCACCCTTGGGCAAGGAACCCAGCAAATGCTAGTTTGGGATGAGGGATCTTTTGGAAAGA